TTGATCTTATTTGTGACGGAAAAAAATCTGATAAACGGTAATTTTTACAGTAATAATTACCGCAAAATCAAAAATCATTGAATCACTCTAATTAAATAAATATTATTGCAAAAATTACTGTATAATATTTTAAAGTAAAGATGGATTTTATGGATGATACACAAAAAATGTACTTTATACAGTACTTTGATATGGAATTTTTTACAGTGTGTCCTTCTTGCTAATGTTTCCATTCAGCAAGTATTTTTTGGCAGAATAAAAAGTTGTATTTGACAGGAAATTTTACCTAAACTCTAAGGCATACAAGTGTTTTGTAAAAAATAAAGAGAAAAGTTTTAGATTTAAAAAAAATTCTTATGAAATTCTTTCTCATTAAATTCTTTCAAATTTTTTCGAATGTGATTAGACAAACAATTTAGGGACTATGATTGAAATTAATATCTTAATTTTTATCAAGTTTCATCACACTTTCTGTCATTCGAATTCCGTTAGTGAAATCTATGATATTATGAACTTAAATGAGATCTTCAAAATGTTACACTTATGTATATTTGAAATTTACTGTAAAATGGATTCTGTACCCTAAGTTCCGGTATTTAATAGTTTAGTTTAGTCAAAACTCCAATTTTTTTCAAAAGCTTCAGCTCACCAAAATATTCAAAAGTTTCAGTTCACCATTGTTGTTTCTAATATTGAGGAAACCATTTCTTTCAAATAATTACGCAAATCTAAAAATTAATAACAAATAAATAAATTAAAAAATTGCAATGAACTATAAAACTTGCTTATCCAAACATACTTCCCCCCTAAAAATATTTCTTTCCAATTATTCATTAATTAGCTAGTTTTAATTAAAATGAAAGTGAAAATAATTTCTAAGGGAGCATTTGCAATGCAATTGGAAAAAGGGAGGATCTTATTTGTCTCTCAATTAGCACGTTCACCATTTCTGAATTTTCTAACCAATCATCTTGCTACCTTGTTTTCCTAATTATTTCTCACAACATACCAAAAGTATAAGTAATACTGTAAACAGCTCATCGACGTCGCCAGAGATGGCATAGCGTCGTAACCCCTTTCTCACGTAAGAAAAAAATAAAAAAGGCAACAACATCTGGTATCAGTATTAACCAATTCACAAAAACGTAAGGGTTTCCTAAAAGCAGCTAAGGCTGAAGCCTAATAATAACCTCTCTTGTTTTCGAAAGTAAAAAGGAAAAAGACCTTTAAACTTAGGCAAAGGACTGGGATTGGTGATTTGGCCGCTAACATCAGTCAACAACTTTCCGGATCGGCTCGCCGTCCAAAGATCTTTTATTTTGTTCTTTGCTTCGCTGCTGGTTGGTTTTTGTGAAAACAAAAAAGAAATAAATTTCGTTCTAAATAGAGAGAGAACTACTTAAATACGCGCGGAGATACTCGAGCCTTTGTCAGAAGAGACGATATTCTACGGGAATGCAATTTCAGCAGTTACAGATGGTCAAGGGCAAAGCTAGATTTATCTAGATATTGAGATTTTTGTGCAACTCTTTCTAGATGTTGCAACACTGAGTTGCAAAGGAGGGCGCGCAGGATATTTGCGCATTTTAAAATGTAACGGTTTCTGTAGATAAAGGAATATTATTGTTCGAACTTTGTTTTGAAGACTTAATTTTAATTCAAATGACAAATCTATAGGACTGGCTTAGTTATTTGAATCCAGAACTTTGGAAGAGAATGGGAAGGCTAATAAATTAATTTTCAAATTAATTAAATGAGGGTTTAATTTGATTTAGGGTTTATAAAAAATTAGTCTATAACTTATGATGTACTATATTAATTCTTATTTTCAATTTAATTTTAAAAATTATAAAAGTTTAATAAATTTTTTCTTGAAGATTACATTATTATATCTCTTTCCCAATAAGGATTGAATCCTTAATGACACATTTCATAATTAAGATCCTAGTCGAAAAATGTACAATTTTAAAAGTGACTGTCGTGAGCGTTCATTTTACAAACAAAGCTTCTTACATTTGTTACCATATTATTAAAAGCTTTTTAAGTTTTTTTTTTTCTGTATTCTTTTTTTAATATTTTGTCACTAATACTTATATTTCAATTTTTCATAAATTAAAACATATCGGACAATTTTGTTCATGGGCGTTTTATTGTGTCGCAATAGCTAGCACCAATTATTATCAAACGGAAGCTTCAATTTTCAAGATTTTTTTTTTTTTTTTTTTACATAATTGAAAACAGAAAAATAAAATTTACAGTAACAGTACTAAATGGTTATTCATCATTAAATTACTAAATAAAACCATTTAAATATTCTTAAAAGTTAAAGTTATTTTTCTAATATTAGCTTAAAAGTACAATGCAAAAAAATTCCGGAAAAATTACGTTAAAAAGTTCCGGCATTCAGAATACCAGAAATTCTCCCCGAAAAAATCCAAATTCTTTGGAATATATTATGGAACAAAAAATCTGATATACCGTAATCGTTACATTAATTACCATAAAAATCATTGAAATGCTCTAATTCAATAAATATTACTGTACTATATAATATGTTCTGGTAAACAATGGATTTTACAGTGGATGTACCCTAAGTGTTGGTTCTTTAAACCGTAATTTGATCCGTAGCTTTTTACAGAACCATGTCATCAACTTGACTCAAAAATAGTTTAAGCAATTATAATATTTAAAAAATAAGCAAACATAAAAATCTGGATATAACTGGTTAATTTAGACAAATTAAAATGATAAAAATATTAAAGGGAATTGAAAATACATATAATGCTTTTCTTTATTTACAATTAAAAAGTATTTATTTTTTCATTTATTAAATACATTTGAAAATTATGACCCAGCTCTTTTTTAATTATATAATGAGTTAGGAAAGTACTCAAGCATGGTACTGAACAAACAATGAAAAGAATAACTACTATATATAACTATATATATATATATATATAGTTATATATAGTAGATAAAAACAGTAGATATAGTTATATATAGTAGATATCTACTATATATATATAGTTGATATTTAAAAATACCACCTAAAATAAGTTAATAATTATTTCTGATGTAAATGATTATGGTCTCTCTCTCTCTTAGTTTATTTATTTATTATTTTTTGGAGATTTTGTGTTCTTACAAGAATTGTGTGTATCCAATTTCTTAAATAATTATTAGAGCTTTTTAAACGTAATATCCAAGCTGGAACTTATATTGACACTTTGTCATTGTCACCATGTGAAAATCAGATGATTAATTCAAAAGTACAGCAAAACCTGTGCAAGTTGATCACCTTTGGGAGAACAATTTGAAGGTTCACTTCAACAAATGGTCAACCTAGAATGTGGGCATTTAATTGTTTCGTAACCAGTTTGATCATTGAGATCAACTTCAGTATACGATCACACACAGAGAAGTTTATACCACATTTTAGTATATTTTATTGTTATTAGTTCATGATTCAAAGAACGTGCAGTGTGAAGAAAAAATTAGCGGATCACCACCTGAATAACTTTTGATCTAATGATTGGATTCTTACGTTCATAGACTCAATCTTAATAGCTCGAGGGTTTTAATATGCTAATTAATTACAACAGACGAAATTTTGAGTAGAGCTTGAAAAAGTTATTTAAAATTCAATTTCTTCGGAACTATTCGACCAATCTTCCCCAAATTTTGCATTTAGACATATAAAAATATGTTCTTTAAAATGATGTCTAATATTGCTTACTAACATTTCAAAATTTTATGATTGTTTTTAAATAAAATAATGGAAAATAATAAATATTTACGAAGGATTATTATTTTTTTTTTGTTTTTTTGTTTTTTTTGTGCTCAGAATTATTTTTGGTCAACGAATTTTATAATTATGTGTTAAAAATTTTCAGTTCGCTTAAAAAGTTCTTGATAAAGCGAAATAGACAAAAAGTAAAATTAGCATTAAGGGGTTCGAAATTTCGACAGCTCTCCTGACCAAACAATCGTGACCATATTTTCCTGATTGCGGCTACCCTTATATTTTAAGGGTTAAAAATCCGAATCCGTCGAAAAAAAGTTATGTTTATTCATACAAAGTACGTTTTTGTGTTTGATTTCGTAACTTAATATATCATCTGCACTAATTAATTAGTGCATTTCAAATACTACCATAAAGATTCATTTCTACAAAGTAAAGATCTGATCAATAGATCAAAAGATATTCAACGTGGTCCATTTTTTTTTTTGTGCGCACTGTACATTTGTTTTATAAACTAGGGTGCTAAGCCCCTTGTTCGCTGCCTCTCATCAACCCCGATGATTGCTCCGTAATAATTGTTGTTTCCTGGGGTAAAAAACAGTTTTTCTGCTAAAGTTAAAGTTATTATTTAATATTTATGTACAAAAAGGAATTCTGTTTGCTTACGCTTGTGCCGCCACTTCTCACGCCCAAATATTATTATTTATTAGTATTATAAATATTTAGATCTATCAGTGAACAGAAGTCTTTTTTCTAAGTAATCATTTTATAAATTACTTTCATATTGTTATAACATTATATTGTTCAAACAAATTTGATGAGTTCATTGACGTAATTTAATATTTTATTATTAGGTTATTAGGTTAATTTGGTTATTAGATTAAACCACATTTCTAAATTACTGTATCTTAAAATGCAGCACAGAATCGTATTCTAATAAAATAAAAAAAAATTCTCTTAGTTTTAAACTCTTGAATTAAAAGTGTAATAATAACAGTACAGGATAATAATTTAAATTAAGGATGCAGAAATACTTATAGAAAAACAATATCTTTATGACTTTTATTAATTTCATGTTGATGACAACCTAAACAATATGGAAATCAATGAGGAAATTTTGGATCCTGTGATTAGATTTTTCGGCCAATAAAAATGCTTGGACAACAATGGAAACTGCGACGCCATTATTAGATTTTTATATATTGTAAGATATTCTGGAGTTTAAAAATTATTGAACCAAGAGAAAAAATCTTTCAACTTATTTTGTAAGACAATTTTATTTACTTACCAAAACATGTCACAAGTAGTACACAAAATACTATTACAACAAACATTAAGTGGAGAACATAAAATTATGAATAAAAACAACATTCAACATCAATAAAATAGTCAAATCTGTACAATATTACTACATTTAAAAGCCTTATTAATAGAAGTAATATAACTTAGGCAAGTATTACACAAAACAAATAAACGAAGAATCTTTACAGTCATTATAATTTTATGTAGATAAATGCATCTATAGCTCTTTGTTCATAGATGTGTATTCATAAATACTTTGAAAGTAATAGTTTTGAGATCTAAATTCTTTGTCAAACAATAAAAATAAATATTTCACACGTAAATAAATATCAATAATCATACATTGCCTAAACAAAAAATTAAAAACAAATTGGCGATAGAAAAAAAAGTTTTTTAATTTAAGACACTATACTATTTAACAAGATCGTACATTCATCGTGCATTTTTGATTGGATAACAATTGTTAAAAACATTATAAATGCACAGTAAATTTTAAAAAAAATTGTAGAATAGATCTTAACAAATATTGGAAGATTTAAAAAAATACATTTCTGATACAAGAACCTTTTAGATTTATCTTCTTTCTGGTTCTATAGGAACACCAAAAAGCTCAGTAATTTTTACCAAAGACCTCAGAAGTGTTTTTTTGGTGAATTAACAATAAAACATCGTTGTATTACCATGCTTTTTGGTAATAAGTGAGACAAAATTTGGTATTTTCTTCATGATACTTTAGAACATGGCATAAATAACCATTTATTGGGTTTAAAATTTTTTTTTTTTTTTGTATTTTTACTAAATGGATCGTAATTAGAATAATAGTTCTGCAAACCAGAATTTCTGGTAAATTGAAACTATATGAACTGAAAAATTACCAAATAAATGGTTTAAATATCGTATATTTTGGTTTTGTTATCCAGAATTCAGTATGTCAATTCTAAAATGTTCGATGTTCAATTCGTTTTACTCTGTCAACTTTCAAATGTTCTCTTGTTTTCAATCTATCCTTATTTATCGATCATTAGAGATATAAAAAAAAATTTCACTTCAGCTTTTTATCTGTTTACTAAAGATTTATAATCTAAAAAACAAAAAGTATTCCGTTTAATTGTAGCTAGGTTTTGTTTCGTTTCTATAACCTCTGCTCTCTGGGTTAGACCTGGTACTCCTTCGATGCGTGTCTATGCCAGGTCCGCGAACGGAGGAAGAAGACATTTACCTTCAAGGATGGACAAAGGTTTTACGGGCCTCAGGACAAAGTTTATTGCGGGCCCTTATTTCGAAAAGATTTATTTTCATATTTAGTAGAAGTTTTTAGGGCTTTTTAAACAAATTCGTAGTTTTTATATAGGTATGAAGAAATTTTCCACAGTTTTCTTTTTCTTTAAAAAAAATTATGAGTGCCATGTTTTTTAGAGAATTTTAGTTGGGCCCTCAGTAGTTCTTGGCTCCGGGAGAATTGGTGCCCCTTTTCTTCTTTCCTTCAGTACAGCCTTGACTGCATCACATGTAAATTTCATGCATAAGTTTCTTAAAATGTCATATAAAATAGATATGTCTGCAACCTTTCACTGAGTTTTTAGCATTTCTAAATTTCCCGTGATATGTGTACCTGGTTTTGCCTCACGAATGGGTTAAAACCAGGTGATTTGACTTTTTCTAGAAAAAAACCTTTATGGAAAAAAGTATTACAGCAATGACTTTTCATGAATAATATATTGTACTCAACTAAAAATTGTTCTTAGCTATACTGTATTACCCCTCTTTCCCATTTATATATGAATATACATTTTTCAAAATGCATGTGCGTATTTTTCCAAAATACAAAAATTATCAAAAAATCCTGCTTAAATTTCGAAAGTTTCATTGAAAATATTTGGTAAACAAACAATACAAGATTCAATAAATTTTCTGTATTTTTTAATGTATTTTCTCTCACACTTGACAGAAATATTTGATTTCAGTTTAAATGGGACCTCATAATTTCTCTTCTTTGGATTAATTTATTAAGTCTAATAACACAAATTTAACAAAATCAATCACAATATTATATAACCTTCTTATGCCAATGGGACGTCATTGAATATTAAAAAAATAATTTTATTATTTTTTAAAAAAGGGTAAATTTTTTCAAGCTTTCTTTTTTATATTTTACATTATTTATCAATTCTAGTAAGAATCCAACTCGAATAAAAAAAGCTATAGTTGCAATGGACACTGTGTGAAAGTTAATAAATAAACAAATATAGTACTATTTGAAAGTATATATTTGATAGATTTAGAAAAAACATTATGATGCTTATCTATGAAAAAGTATTGTGCTACTACAGTTTTCGATATTTTAACAGCTAAATCAATCGATACATATTTTATTAATAATTATTATAAATTTAATTTCTTTATTATACATCAATTAATTTCAATTCAATTCTATTTTTTAAAAAAATCCGATTATAATGCTTAAATTCTAACATCATAAATATGAATAACATATAAATATTTGATTTTTGCCAAAAGCCTTTGTTTATTATAAATAATAAATGCGTTCTTTTCAAAACAATTATTTTTAAAACTCTTTAAATTAAGCAATTAAATTATTTAATCAACACTTTCACTAATTTTGTTATTCACATAATATTCACTATTTTTTTACAATAAAAAGCAAAAAATAAATGAGTGCTAATTTTTGAATGATTACAATTAATTCTTGAAAAACCATTTACAATTTATACTGGATTTGATTATCTCTAACATTACTTGAAGAACATTATAAGTGTTAAAGAGCACTATTTGCAAAAAACTTACGAGAGCAAACAATTCAAATAAGTTTTATCAATTTTTTCTGTCATTTACAATCATACTATTATGTGAAAAGTTTGTACATTCTCTTTAAAAATACCAATTTTTTTATTGAGCAAAAGTACTACTTCCTCCAGAGCACAAAAAGTACTTGTTGTCTGAGTAACCGGTATCTTGCGTAACAGGTATGTTATTGGACGATAAAGAGTTACATAATGATGATATAGAAGGAAGACTAACATTATTATTTTGCGGTGGAGAGCTTGTGGTTGGATGACTCACATTCATGGGATAAGGAGTGCGTTCACATTGTGGTGACGTCATTGTTGATTGAAGTCGCATTGGCCATTGACTGACAGGAGAAACAGTACCTATTAAACAAAAATGCATATGTATTAAAAAAAAATATTCTATATTTTAGAATAAAATACATCACTATCATAAAAATATTGAACATATTTTCTGCAAACTTCTAATGGCGCCAAATTGAACCATATTGTCGGAAAAATTAATCTCTTTTAATTTTTATTTATAGAGACAAGGCTTTAACTTCAACAAAAACAAAATTATTCCATTCGAACTTTATTAAGTAATATGCCATTATTATTCACGATAGCAACGCTACGACTCAACAAGGAACCATGGTTTTTGGATATAGTTCAAGGCACTGGTATAGCGGTATAGCGCTGAACCGGTTATTTTAGAACGCACTAACCAGAACATGCAAGCTATTGAATTTCATTAGCTATTTAATTTACTTCCTTGAGGGTTTTAATTAACATTGTTATTATTTATTACAAATCTTACATCAAATATCTTTTCAGTTATAAATCGTCAAATAAGCGTTTAAAACACTAAAAAATTATGCTTTTATCTTTACTGCCGGTAAAAGATATATTAATATCTAATGAATAGAAGATCTAATGATTAGAGGAACGATTAAAATATAAAAATAACATAACTATGGTTTCTGATAAAAATAATCTGCTAAATGAAATAACTTTCGGCAAATTACAAAGCCAAAGCCATCTCTTTAATCCTTTTATTTTAGCCGAAATTATTTTCGCAGTAATTCAACCCGCTTGTAGCTCCCTTTTTCCTCATTTTCAAATTGAGGGCTATGTTTACCATAAATATCTACCATCTGTTTTGGGTAGTAATTTTCTCAAGCTTGCGAACACAGTTAAAGTTATTATACCTAAAATATTTTTAACGCTCTTTCTTAAGTTTTATTAGTGGGAAAATTCAGATTTAGTTTTACAACTAAATGCAGATATTTTTTTTATTCGTAGAGGCGATATTAGGTGCAATAATCGGTTCACAGTTTATCTTTAAAGATAGTGATAGCGGGGGGTTCCACAAAGCTCTATTCTGTGATGCATAACCTGTGTGTGGTCCAATTGCAATGGAGAGAAACTCAGAGCATCTCTGCTTCTATTCTGTCAACATTTAGTAACTAAAGCTAAACTTAGGTTTTGATTTCAGTATCAGTTGAAGGGACGACTTTTTAATGTCGTAGTTAAGTCAGGAGGAAAATACTTTCATTTCAAAACTGTATTTTTGTGTCAAAAAATAAAGATTCACAGTTTATCTTTGAAATTAATTTTGGTTGACATTTATCTGAAAATAACTTTGAAGTAAGCATAATAAAAAATTAAACAGCAATTTCAGCTACTTATGTTCCCATTATGAGGCCATTTTGTTGATTTTATAAACAAAAATTATTTTAGCTTAAGTAATTTTTAAAAAAATTTCAGTTGAGTAAAAATTTTTTTGTGAATCACAAATTTGTGTGGGAAAACATTAAATTTTGGATATTTTTCAAATTACACCGAGAGAAAAGCATGGTAAAAACTACCTGCATATAGCAAAATTTAGCACATTTCTGGCTCAACGGAAACACAAAATGATTGATAATTTTTACCGAAGCACTTTGGTAATGATTTCAGTAAAATTAACAATAGAATTTAGTTTTCTTATGTGTGGGTAAAATTTGATATTTGGGTAATTTCACTTGATACCTTAGTGCATAGTATGAAAAACCATTAATTCGGTAAAATGTATTTTTTTATTTTTACTTAATGTGTGTTAATAAGAAATATAATTTTAAATATCAGAATTTCTGGTAAACTGTTGTCGTATGAACAGAAAAATTACCGTAATTGAGTGATTTCAATACCGTGTATTTTGGTTTCATAACCAGAATTGTGTCGGTTTTTTTTTTTGAAAATCAGAAATATCATTATCCTCAGTACGGTAATTATACCAGACTTGATTTTTCTTCGTGTATATACTATACTTGTTCTTAATATTTTTTTTATAATCCAATAAATAAAATTATTGTTTTAATTTTGAAAGTTATTTCAAGATCTTTTCGTATTTAAATTAAAAGTTCCAGCAAATTTAAACGTTAAGTTGGAATTATGGTAGAATGATTTCTTTATTTTTCTTCAGTTAAGTAACTTGTAACATGACTCTAAATTAGCTTTACTTTACGATGAAGAAATGATAAGCATTTTAAAAATTTAAGACAAAAAATTAAGTACGTGCAAAAACGTATTTTCATATAAATCGTAATATGAATTGAGATGCCAACAAACTGATAACAAAGCATTTATCTTGGCTTAATTATTATGTAGATTACATTAAGGCTCAATGGTTCCTGTTCAATTCTGTAATCAAAAATTAAAAGCTTTATCCTAGCTTTAGACATAACATGTTTGGTACATGTAACTAAAATTTTTGACATAAGCTTTGAAAGAGGGGGATTTAAATTTGATGCTCTTTTTTTTTCTTCCTTTTTGTTTGCTAATTTAAGACGGCTGTGGTAAATCCCTGAAAAAGGAAAAGTAGATTTATTTAAGTAAAGCTCAGAAGATTAATAATTAAAAGTTTAAAGCAATTAAAAAATAAAGGGCTTGGAGCTGCGTTTTAATGTCTTAGGGTATTTGGTGAGCGTTTTTTTTTTTTTGTTTCTAAATTAAATTTGCTTAAAACTAATATTTTTAAGGATTAAATCAATATTACAATGCAATAGCTCTAACAGAAATCGTAAAACAAATTTTCAGAAAGACATAATGTTTAAATCAGATTTAAATGGAATAATATAATTTGCAATATTTTCTCTCCATAATCAATTTTTTTTTCATGCAGATTTTCTTTAACAAAGGATACCCAAAATTTACAGGCATAATTAATTTAAATATTAGTTAACCTCTTAAACATAGCTATTTGACAAAGCGTTTCCAAGCATAAAATGAAACTAAGTTTCTAAAATAGATAAGATCTAAACTGTTATCTTTAAATATTATTTTATCCTTAAATTTGATTAGTTAAGTAAGAAAATCGCAAAACAAATGCAAGAAAGATTTATAACATATAATGTATAAAATAATTCTAAATATAAAATTAAAAAATTTATAAATCTGGAAGATTTGGAAAAAATTATAATCAATAAAACAAATCATATCTTAAATGTAATTATTCAATGCCCCTCATTTTATATTACATATTTCTTATTTACTTCTAGTGATTTTTCCACAGTATACACTAAAAATGTTAAATAAAAATCTCCATACTTAAACTCTTAGAAATGTTTTCCACTAAAATTAAATTAATTCTGATACCACTAACTTTTTAAATGTGCCCATTCTGAACTTGCTTTTTAGAGCAATCAAGATTTCATGATAAAAACTAGATAAATACACAAAATAAAGTGTACAAGAAACATATTAAAATCATCGTACTTCGAATATTATTTAATCAGTTTTAAATTTAATCATTTAAAATACCGCACATAATTTGTTGTGTTTTTCACATTTTCTCTGATTTTAAAGTAATTAATTATAACTGAAACTAATGAGGTAAAAAAAAAGTTTCCGAGAAAGCTACTTTTATTAAAAAGAAATGAAGGGTAAATGAAACCAATTTTCCTAAAAATTTTAGATGTCTTAGTTTTGTTTTCTGAGGATTAATTCATCATCGAAAAAGAGATAATTGCACAAGAATATTGTAGAACTAATAAAAAAAAAAACTTAGTTCGGCAGAAAAAAATATCTTTTAAGTGTGGCGGTACTTAAAGCGGGGATTGGTAAAGATATCACATTACTAAAGAAGACGGATTGGTTGAAGAATTACAATTAGCACGATGATAGCTTATGACTTACTCAAATGACACAGTTATTTCAACTATGTTATTTTTCATTCGGCTGTCATATGATGCATGACTTGATATGACTTTTATATAGTTTTTCTGTGCTTGGACTCGTTTTAATTGTTCAATTATAAAATGTATCAAAAAAATATATTTTATGTTTGCATTATATTATCATAGAAAAGAGCGTTTGAAGTTGAAATTTGAAAATAAAATATAAAAAAGGGAGAGCGTCATTTGTGCTCTTGATACGGGCACTGCCAAAAAATTCCGAAATAAATTACGGTAAAAAGCATCAGCATTTCGTCAGCCGGTGCTTTTAACCGTAAAATTAATTTTTAACGGAACATGTTACTGAACAAAAATCTGATATTTCTTAATCTACACAGTAATAATCACTGTGAAAGCACTAAATCATTCTAATAGAATATTGCAGTAAAAATTACAGTCCAATATTTTACGGTGCAGATGGATTTTATGGGAAAATAGATTTTACTAATGAGGCACCTAACATGTTGGTACTTTATACCGTAATTTGATCCGGAATTTTTTAGTATATCCTTATTACAGATGTTTTCATATAACATATATTTTTTCTTCGGAATAAGAAAATGTGTACGAAAGGTAATTTTAACATAAAATCTAACGCATGCAAGAGTTTTTCAGAAAGTTGAGAAGAAAGTAATACAATGCAAAAAATCCTGGATGAAATTATGGTATGAAGTACTGGCATTTTAGTTGCATCATCCAGATTAGTTGCATCATCCGTAAAATCCATTTTTACTGTAAATTGTACCATAATTGTTACATTAATATCTATTTAATTGGAGTGATTGAGTGATTTTACTGTAATTATCACTGTAAAAATTATGGTATATCAGATTTTTTGTTCCGTAACATGTTTCATTAAAACTGGATTTTACAGGAAAAAGAACCGGCACCGTGAGTGCCTGTAATATATACCGTAATTTGATTCAGAATTTTTTACAGTTTTGATGAAAATAAATTCTTAAGAAATTTTCTCAGATTTAAAATTTTGTTGAATGGGATTCTAAATCAAGTTACAGATTTGTACATTAGACAATTTAGAAACTATGCTTGAAACTGAAATTTTAATTTTTATGGAGTTTGATCACACTTTCCGTCATTAAAGTTTCTTGAATTCCGTCTACGAAATTTATGTTTTAAGAACAATATGAACTTAAATGAGTTCTTCTCTTCTAATATATTACTCTAAAAAATATGATTTATCAATTAGTTTACGATTATTCTTAAAATTAATATTTTCAATTTTTTATCGAATTTTTTATTGAATTAGAAAATATTTTTTTCCTTCATTGAGAAAATTAATCAATTCACTGAATAATCCAACAATACTTTTTTTTCTACAAAATTAGCAAATTTATTCCTTAAAATAACGTACATCAATATACTTGTATACAATCAAATAATTATTTTTTTATTAACAATTAGCTTAAAATTCATGTTTAAAAATAATATTTTTTCCTCCATTGAGAAAATTAATCAATTCATTAAATAATCCAACAATGCTTTTTTTCTACAAAATTCGCAAATTTATTCTTTAAAATAACGTACATCAATATACTTGTATGCAACAATCAAATAATTATTTTTATTAACAATTAGCTTAAAATTCATGTTTGAAGCTAACATTTCAATTGTTTATTTATTTACTTTTTAATGTGGATTTCAACTGCAGCTGCTTTTATTTTGGGAAATAATATTTAACAGTAACTTTCTTGTATTCATATATTTCTGTTCAGTACCTGATCGCAAAAATATTAATTTGATATGCAATAGATTACAATTTTTTCTTCGTCAGTATATTTAAAACATGTCTTAATTTTTAATTCTCGTTTTATAGAGTAACTAAAAATGTATCTGGAACATCGTGCTTGTTTAAAAAATGTTACAAAAGCAAAATATATGATAATGCACTGGGAACATTTAAAATATTTGACTATATATTGAATTTTTGAAATGGAGTTAACTGTTTACGTGATATAATTCGAAGTTGCAAAGTTACTTTTGACCGGCAAAGATTATAAATTTTTTTCATGTTTAAATATAATTACCAGTTTTCCTGTTAATTGTATAGTTTGAGTTAAATATATGGTTTTAAGTTAATTATATAGTTTCAGTTATTTATATAGTTTTTATGTTTTAAATTTAATAGCTTTTGCTTAATTTAAGGTTGATGTAGCCTTTCATTAAAGTACTTCTGAATTTTTTCAAAAGTCTTTAAATATAGTAGCTTAAAATTGTCATGAAGCTTCATCATTTTTTAAAATCCATTGCGAAAAATTCTTTACTCTTTTTTGACATAACAATTATGTTTTTTTTTAAAAAATTGGTAAAAGGTATAAAAAGATAGTAACACATTTACAGTAGTCACATTTTAAACGTATGAGTATATAATAAACTTTGGAAATGGAGTTAATTATTTAGGAGATCTAATTCGAACTTGTAAGGTTACTTTTGACTAGCAAAGATTATAACTTTTTTTCATGTTTTCTTTAAAAATATAATTTCTTATGCATAATTTCAGGATAATGAAGGCATTTATTTATTTCCGTCTAGGCTTTTTTTAACGTTATTCAAAAATGGTAGTTAAAAATTACTTTCAGAAAATGGTCATGAAACTTTATTATTTTTCAAAATCCTTTGCAAAAGATTCCTTACTCTTTCCTGACGCAACGATTATTTTTTCCTTAAAATAATAGCCACGAAACGACACTTTTGGAAGCAAAAATAATTGCACAGGAATCTAATGTGTTTTTATACATATATCTATTGTGTGAAATTTAAAATGTTTATACAACAACAGTCTTTCGCATCGCGAAATTTTTTTATTCTTAAAATATATTTTTCATTCAACTCAATCACGTGTCTCTAAGAGACGAGAAATAAATTGTATCTTCTGGGATGGTTTTTAAGATGGAACACTTTTCTTGAAAATGACTCCTTTTTTCCGGAGTATCCTTTCTTGAGTAGCATCTCAGAAATCTTAAGTGCTTCTGAGATAGAGAGTGCAGAAAAGATGAGAGGTGTTTCAGAACTAGGCGACCCATAAGCTCGGCGGTGTCCAAGACGCTATTGCCTACACCTAGAAGTTCACAACTAAACTGCAAGATGGCAAATAAAAGAAAAAAGAAAAAAACGAAGCTTTTTCATTCTCAAAATTGAGTTGGCTGTTCAACGACGGTTATAAAAATGATGAATTATCACCCTTCAGTGGTTACCAGTTTCCCGAGATAAATAAGGGTACTTCATAAAAATGAAATATTAACCATGGTTGGTTTATATTATTCTAAACTGTTTTTTGGGGATAAATTTTAATTGAATAAAACTGTTCTAGATTATTTCAAAAGACATTTTCCGGTTTAAAAAAAATGAACGGAATCTGTTAACGTTGTAATATATAAATAACAAAACTAATTTTTAAAAAAAAATTTTTTTTAAAAATGTAATGGCTAAAAATGTAAAATGTAATGGCTTAATTTACTAAATATAATTATTCCATTAAAATTTTTCAGGAAGAATATTGAATAAAACAATTATGTGGAAGTTAAAACAGTTTTTTTTAAAATTAACTTTGAATGTTCTAAGTTCAAGTGCCCAATACTTAAAGTCTTATAGTTTTTACTCTAACAAAACTTTTGAATTAAAATTCATTAAAATCATAAATTTGGTGATTATAATTCATTTAACAACCAGCATAACTATTAGAGCTGCAAATAAACGCTCGCCATGTGACGAGTCAAGAAACAGAGTGGCGACTTAAGTTAAATAAATAGTCACTTTTTTTTAAATAATCGTTTAATGATAAAAGTGCAAGAATGTAGAAAGATACACTGAGAATTTTTCTTAAAATGTCCAATGTCACCAATCAAAATTTTGATCCTACAGTAATTCATCAATTTATGTTGGAAAGATTCACGTGGAATGAGAGATTTTTTTTAACAGTTAACATATTTCAAAGTTGATAAAGTATACATTAAATGTATATTGCTCCCCTCTATATTTTTACACGAAGTTTATCAAAGTCAGTATGTTTGATAAAAAATTTGTCACATTTTTACATAATTTTTATTGCAGCATTTTATTGTCATCTACTTATATTCTTATTACTTTTATTGTTGTCAGGTTTTTATATTACATTTTAGTAGCCGTAAATAATTTCGAATCAAAATTTTTTTTTAAATATTTTTTAATCCAAACAAAAAAAAATTCAAAAAGTGGTGTTAATCGAAAAGAATCTATCAATATGGGTCACCGACTCATTAGGTTTGAGGAAAATTGGTACTAAGTCCTTAAATTCTACCAGCCACTGGCTACTATCTAAAAATTTACATTTTTAAGTCTAATAACTATAAACTGAAAAATGGTTATAAAAATTCAGAAACTTTTCAGAAAATATATCATATTTTATTGGTGTATTATTAAAACAAGTTTTATAAAAGTTAACCACTCTAACCTTAAAACGTTATTTCAGAAAGGTATTAATTCTAGATATTTTTCTTTTTAGATTAGGTGAATAATATAAGTTTGTAGTACAGAATGAAATGTAATTTAAAATAATAAAACCCAGTGAATAATGCAGCTTAAAAAATTTTGAAATGAAGCAAATTAGTTTCTTTTGTCTTAAAAAACAATTAAATGATATTGTGTTATATACATGTCGGTGTTATTGCAATACAAGTACAATAATAATATTCGAATTGAATACGTTTCACTTGCTAAACAAGCAGAAATTTATTTTTAATTACTTGATGATCTTTTGGTTACAAAAGATCAAATTATTCACTAACTCCTTTCCAACTATTAAATTATACTTGAATATTAAAAGCCGCAGCAGGAAAATAATTACAAAAAGAAGTCCTAGTAAGACTTCAATATATAATTTTAAATATTCATAACTTTCAGATCTATATTATAAATGAGAGCTCTGTTATTTAACAGAAGAAATTTTAAAATAAAAACACAGGAAGTAATACAGCAAAATATAAGTGAATAAAAAGAAAATTCTTTTGTTACTTTGCTTATAAAACATATCACTGTACCAGGTATTTCTGCATTTAACTGTACAGCAAGTAAAATAATATATAGTTTTAAATTCAATATTAGTTTAATAACAATATTAATTGATTAATAATAACAAAATTTTATTTTTCTATTGTCTAACAAAAAGTTTATAAGCACAAAACGAGGAAAAGAATACATATACCATACTATAATATGCATATTTTGTTCTTGATATAGAATCAAAAACCTCCTGAAATTCGTTAATCAAAATGAGAAAAAAATATGTTCAAAATTATCAGAATATTTTAACACTTAACGTGCTTCCGGCTCTGAAGCACTTTAGTAACGATTTTGATAAAATAAACAATAAATATGGTTTTATAATACGTCATAAAAGTTGGTAAATGTGGTAAAATTTTTAAACTTTTATCACGATACCTTAGAATATGGCACTAAAACCATTTATTTTCAGTTTTGTATTTTTTTCTAAATGTATGATGACAAGAACTATAATTTTGAAAATCAGAATTTCCGTTACTATATGAACGGAAACGACTGATTTCAATATCGTCTTTTAACGTGTGTTTTTATAGACATAATTTTTTTTCTCTGGACAATAATGCAGACAGAATTTAAATAATATTAAACTACCGTCTGTGATTTTATAACGCAATCTTCTCAACCTCAGGGCCAATAATAACGTAGGTGTGTTAGCTTGATTGCATTGAAACGCGACGCTGTAAAATCTGATGCTCCAGTTCCGAAAGAGAACTTAATCTGAGTTGATATCTTTTAAACAAGAATGTAAACTGTAATTTTAATTTGGTTCACACAAATCTTCTCATCTCATTATGTATCAATAATAAATAATCCAAGTTCATTAATGAGCTATCCAGACAAGAATCGAAAAAATATAGACCAAACATTCTAGGAACGCCGACTAATCATCGTTCCAAAATTGATTCATTTACTGCTACTGTATACAAACCGGCATCGCTGTTTTAATTGTTTACCTTTCCCCGATATAAACATAGGATTGTATACATTAACGATCTCAATTTGTATATATATCGTACGCTACTTCGTCTCATCACTTTGCATAATTGCACTTTTATCTTCTATAAAGTGAACAACTTTGAAGTGCAATGAAAAAGCCAAGATTTGCTTACATTTTTCGGGCACAAGTTCGTGATTTTTCAACAGATGTATGTAACATTCACCAAAAGCCTTTCGAACTTATCAGGGATACTTCCATCCAAATAAACTCTCTTTACTTTAAGAGTAAACTATGGGATTATAAACAAAAGTTGTTGATGCTAACTCTAAAAGGGAGAACAGACTGGACGGTGGAATTGTTCACTTTTTTAAAGTTCTTCTCCAGCACTTGGTATGCTCACGTTTTTGTCTGGAGTTAGCACTTTTTGCTGGCCTGATATTTTAATTTGTGAGGGTAGCTCACGTGTTGCATGGATTTCCGTTGAAATCATGTTTTCGTTGGCACGTTTTGGGTCAAACAATGTGACAGTTTGCATGGATTATCTAATGTGAATATGCTTTATGGGTGAGAAACGCATATTTTGTCTTTTTTATTTTTACTAATCAGCAGTTTTTGTAATAACTGACGTAATCGAAATCTGATATTGCGAATGCTTATTTCTTTGATACTTTTATGGATTTCCTTTTATTTTGTTTATTTATTTATAATTTTTTTTATTTAATTATTATTACTGTCTATTTTTTTTTGCTTTTTAAAATACATCAGCTATTTATTTTACTGTACAATTCAAATCATAATAACTACTTTATTTAAAAAAAATTATAATTTTGCAACTTAAGTGCTTATTGCAAAAAGAAGGTAGCTTCTTTACATTTTCACTGCTTTAAAATTCTAAAGGCTGAGACGGTTTCAGGCTTTTCTATAGTTACACCCTTTCTATCGTTAAAAAACTAGCTGTAACAAATAGTTAAATGACAGGTATTGTTCATATGTATCATTATTCATTATCAGTGCATTATTCATCTTCTACTACAATGAAGAGTTTAGAGCATGTTAAAAAATTGAACAGCAAAAGTAAAAAGTGGTGTTTTTTTTTACACTTAACCAATTTAATTAACCCTTTAAGTTTTTATTACTGATTGATCAATTACTCAACTATAAATTATTTTCTAAGCAATATATTATTTACTAACCAGTAAACCACGTTCTAATTTCCTTTTATGTATCATAAAATCAACTATAAAACTATGAAATCATTTTAACACATTTTTTTTTAATTTCAAAATTTATGCAATGAATTTGATCTATAAAAACTTATGTATTATATTTTAATTCGATTTATTAAAATTTGCTCAGAAAAATTTAATAAAAATTTTTTTGAATTGAGAATTTTTTTTAATCAATTTTTTTGAAAATTACAAAAAATAATATATTAATTTCAAAGGAAATTAATTTTAATTTCTGTAAAAATAATCAAAATTAAATGTAAAATTGAGTTAGCAATTTTTGGCAAAATTCAGAATGTTAGGAATTCTCACGTGCTACTTAGCTTTGTTCTGTCACCATGACACTAGGTCAGCTGTGTTTGATTCAAATTGCACGAATTTTTCTTTATAAATGTGCTTTACAGATGAATAATGAATATTTTACAAAGAACTTATTTAAAAATAAAATCTGCCATTGTCCGAAAAATCCATATTTTAATATTTGATTTTCTAATATATAGTTATCAAATTCTAAATTTTTTGTTACAAATGCTGTATTTTAAAAATGTAATTTACATTTCATTGCCAACTCAATATTTTAACATTTAATTCTTGAATATATAGAAATCAAAATTTCAATATTTATTACAAAAGTTTCATTTTTAGACTTAAGCTTGTCCTTTATCGAAAAATCAATATTTAACAATACCGATTTTGCTATTTTTCACAAAAGTTATATAATGAAAATAAAATATGTCGCTCATTGAAAAATAAGAATTTCAATATTTGATTCGTGAATATATAGTATTAAAATTTTTAGTATTTGTTACGAAAGTGGCATTTTAAAAATGAAATCTGTTGTACTCAGAGAAATTATTTGCTAATTATTTATGCTTACTGTTACAATACAGTATTTTTAAATTTCGATATCAACAATTTTGTTGATTACGAGTGTATGATTATAAAATCTAATTTTTTTTATATTTTTTTTTATTTTTTTGTAAAATCGAACTTTATTCAGCAAGCTTATTGTGTTTTCTGCGTTATTATAAGCATTTTTTGAAAAACAACAGTTTAAAAAACTAAATAACAACTAGATGGAATATTAAAAAAATAATAAGTTAATAGGATAATAGAAATTTCTTATTAATTAAAGGAATTATTAAACGAATTAATTAAACGAAAGTATGAATTATTTTTGAAAAAAAATTTTATAAGCAACAATTTTTTTTATATATTTTGCTTAGTGTAGCTTTTTTCGTCAATAAAAGCAAACTTTTTTTGTATAATTTCAACACGATAGGGTATTTTCGTCAATTTTTCAGTTTCGTAAATTTTTCATTGCGAACTTTTTAAATTCTTAAAATTAATTATAAAATATATACATCAAAATTATTAAACTCTACACACATAATATGTTTCTTTCATTACATACGACGTACTTATTTGTAAAAAATGCTTTAATATTTAATATTAATGTACAGTAAAATCAAGTTTTATATTTTATTTTAGTACCAGATATTACAATAATAATCAAGTCAAGAATAATTAGAAAGTAATCACGAAATAATAAATATTTTGGGACATAAATATACAAAAATTCTGTTTTAGATGTTTTTATAAATGGTGTTAATCTAGCGTGAGATGTTATTATGTATCCCCATGTAAGTGCAATACGAACTCAATTAATGTTGTTTATGAATGCAAAATTGCATGTTATAAAAATATGGGTTCTCAAAATAATATACTAGATAATAAAGCATTAAATTTTAGTTCGAAATATTATTTCTTACTATTAAATTTAAATATAATAGGTAAAGTAACACACTTTTACTTTATTTCAGTAATAAGATTTCTTAAAATCATCATTGATTTATTTGTGTAATGTAGACGAAAGACATTTTAAGTAAAAAACAGATTTAAATATTTTTAAAGGTAAATATTTTCCTTTCAAAAAATGAGTTATATAAACTTAAACACGAAATTAATGTTAATAATTGATAAAATAGTTAATTCTTCTACAAAAAGAAATTGTTTTTTGAAATAGATCTTTTGAAAAAAAGTTTTAAAAAGATCAGTTCACCTTAATTAAAATATCTGTGACTGACCTATAATATACACTATAATATTTTTATTATATATATATAATAACATTATTTATAATATACATTATTAATTTATTAAATTAATTAATTAAATTTATTTTTAAAATTTAATTTAGTTCACAGGACTGAGAATTTGACAAGCATTGCAATGGTTTCACATGATTGAAAATATTAATGATTTCTTAAAACTGCAATTTCAAACGTTTGAAAATTAATTAAAATTGCAGTTTTATTTTTTGAAATATTTATTTTTTTGCAATATGAAAATATAATAACAAAATTTGTAATATTTATCTAAATACAGATACTTTATCTGCACTTTGTCCACCCTTAATACACTTCTAACTTGCTCACATAGCAGTAGAATAGCCTTTACATTTAAATTAAAGTTAAGTTTTGCCAGCTAAAAAACAAATTTAGGCTACAAATGGCTTTAATGCCATGCTCTCCAATATTATGATAAACTTTCCAATTTTTATCGATTATTATAAAATCGTAGTTTATAGCTAATTTAACCAAAATCATTATCAAATCGCTTCAGTAAAAATTTGCCGAGTTTTTTGGTATTCCCATAGAACCAGAAACACTGTAAATTTTACTATATTTTGGTAGTTTTGACCATACTTTTTTTCTAAGTGTAAAAAAATTCTCTACATAACTTAGATTATTTTGCTCAATAACAGCGTGTAAAATCAAAATCATTTTTTTTAATCCAAAAAAAATTCGATAATTTGGGATAATCCTGATAATCCTTTTGCTTAGTTAGGGATATCTGTGTTCATTAATGAAATTTAAATTATCATGATTATTTTTGTTATTTATAAAACGATTATTTTATTTTCAGCGATGAAACTTACTTAAATATTTTTTTAGTGAATTTATGAGTATTAGTAATTAATTAATTATTGTTGATGATTTAACAACTAATTTTGCATGTAAACAAATGTTATGTGTTTATTCGCATAACTGAATGCAATTATAGATTTTAGATTTTATTTGAAATGAAATTTGCATAATGCGAAATAAGTTCTAGTACAAAAAGCACAAATTATATTAAAGTCGCTTCTACACTATGAAAAATTCTGGATATAATTGCGGTGAAAAAGCTAACCCCAAAAACCATATTTACTGCAAGACTTTTCCGAACAAAAGATCTGATACACCTTAATTTTTACAGTAGTATTTAATATAAAATCACTGAATCACAGTAATTAAATAAATATCACTATAAAAATAATAGTACAAAATTTCACGGTTAAAATGAATTTTCTGGATGATGCACCCAAAGTACCGTTACTTTTTACCGCAAATTTATCCGGAATTTTTTTACAATGTACTTTAATGGAATACTCGGCTTTAAATTCATATTTACTGTTATATTTAATTTAATTTAAAGAATGAGATACACTGATTTAAATAGTTTTTGACAAAACTTTTACAGCTAATTTTTATATCAATGTACTTTGCTGTACGAAATTTCCAAAGGAAATGAAATTTAAATTGATTTCACTCCTCGATATTTGATTTCAATTAGGTAAATTTGATAAAAGAAAAAAACTAAACAAGTTTCTCATAAACAAAGCTACAGAAAATCCCGGTTTTTGACTGTGCCTTCCCATAAAATGATTTTTTTCAGGCATTCTATTGGCATTCAGGCATGATTTTTTATTATTCAGGCATGATTTTTTTCAGTCAAGTACACGCAAATTAGCTGAAATGAGTATACAGTAAACTTTTCATCTCTGTGCTGAAAGCTGTGTGATTTGCACTTTCTTCGATAGTTTAGATATACTAATAGTTTCTAATAGTTTAGATACTAGTTTAATGTAATGTCACTTGAATGTCAGAATGTAAAGTGTCATTACATTCTGACATTTGTCTGACTGACATTGACATTGTCAGAAGGCGCACACTGTGTGCCTTCTGAGATTTTTGTGTGTGTTTTTTTTGTATTTTTACAGGGAATTTTCTTTTTTTAAATATCTGTAATTTTACACGAAACTACTTATAAAGGATTTCCAGTTGATTATCGTGTATTGTATTCTAAAGGTATTGCATATTGCCAATATATTGTATGAAGTTACAAAATATCACATGATTTATTACTGAGATGACGAAGTTTGTGCTTTTTTAAAATTATTTTCTAGGTTGGGCAAGATAAAATGCAAATTATGTTATTTTTTTAGAAGCTAATGAACCAATGACTTTATTTAATTTGAACATATTCTAGGGATGATGGGAACAATAAAAAATT